TGTTTGTGAATGACTATCAGAGTTCGCCATTTAACAATAGCGCGATTCCAAAACAAAAACAAACGACTGCAAAGGATCTCGGATGAAAATGGGCCTTTAAGGTGGATCTTCCTTTTAGAAAGCCGAATTGGTTGTCATTTATCAGACCAGTTTCTTGCCAAAACTTATGCAACCTATCAAAAACAATTTTTTCGCCAATTTTACAAATGATAGAAGTAAGGGAGATTGGGCGGTAATTTTCTCTGAGCGATTTAGAGCCCTTCTTGTGTAGTGGTGTGATATCAGCGCGTTTCCATTTATTTGGTAATAAACCAGAGGAGAATGACTTGTTTAATACATGCGCCAGTGAAGGTGCCAGTTCCGATGCACATTCTCTCAGAACGCAAGGGGCAATATTGTCAGGCCCAGGGGACTTATTAGGCTTGAGTTTCAAAAGGAGGCTTCTTATTTCGCATCCTCGGAGACCCAGGGGCTGTGAGTCGATTTCAAGTTACGGCGGAAGAGGCCCTGGGGACATTGTCTTACAAGACTAGTTCCAAACGGTCGCAGTCGTTCTGGCATCTGATTGGTGCCAGAAAATCTTTGTGCTTTTCTGCCCAATAAGAGTGAAGTATGCTTTAGAGTCCTTTCGTATGTTTTACACGGAATTTGCTCGCCATGTTTGATTGCGCCGTGCGACGGCGCTTTGTTCGAGGTGAAAGGTTTCAGTCTCAGCACACAATGTAAGAGAAATCGATCAGATTGTCCGCAAAAATCTTACCGGAAATTGTACTGAATACTTTCGCAGGTATCACAAGAGAACGTGTTTAAAAGTTTGCGAGGTTCGTATAAAACATATTGGTTGCAGGCGTTAATAGGCCGCTTTAAACGATAAACGAGATGTAAGCTGAATTCTTTCTAGATTTTTTGTATAATTTACTGGTACTGAAACTTTGCCAATCCCGTGAAGTTGTTTCGTCCCACGGGCCACGCAGGCATGTCGAGCAACTGGTGCTTACCTCTTTCTGTGCGTGCTAAAATCTAATCTCCTTCGGCTAGTTGTTTAGGTAAGGTTCAGCGTGTTTTTTTACGACAATGAATAATCCGGGTGAAAATGTTTCAGGTCGTTGTCGAGTATGCTGTTCTGTTTTTATCATCATTAAGAGAAAAAGAAATCTTACTGGCGAGTTCATGAAAATATTTGAAGAAGTTTTCCTTCAAAAGGTTTTACCAGACGATGGTCTTCCGCGTGCAGTTTGGGACACTTGTCGCTTTAGAATTGAAACATCCTGGAAACGTAATTGTAACAAAGATGCATCGATAAAAATTTCCCGTGGGCAGTACCCAAACAAGAGAATCAAATTGTTGCTGTTTCCCAGTTTCTACTAGAGGAACATTTGTCAAGGTATGCACAAATGCAATACAACCTATGTTGGAAAAAAAAAAAGAAAAGCTAAGCGTGGAAACTTATGTTTATAAGATGTGGGTAGATGACCCTGTACTAAGCTGACAATTACCGTGTAAAGCAAACCCACCCTTTCCATCCAATATTTCTTGGTCTTTTGGTTTTATTTTCCCCAATGAAAGCAGTATCGATTCCCAACGATCTAAGGTATTTAACTTGGTCTTCAAAAATCGACAAAAGAGGTGAAATGACAATGACCAAAGGACTAGAAGAGAATCCGTGGCCTTTTGAGCTCAAGAATTTGAACACTTTAGGCCGCACTTGAAAGATTAAACTCTTTCCAAACCCATCGGCAACTGTCCGATGACATCTCCCCTTCCCAATGTTCCCGATAATACGTTTTTGTTCAGATTTTAATTCGCTAACCGAAAACACAGCTAAGCTTTCTCTAAGCGATTGCTGGAGGTCGTCCACGAACTTAACGTTCTCTGCAACCTTGGACCATATTGTGAAAGACTTTGCTACGAAGCGAAGGTTAGATTTTGGCACGAACAGAAAGGTAGGTAAGCGTAAGCGCCTGTTAACATACCTGCGTGGCCCGTGCGACAAAATAACTTCACGAAA